CTGGGGGGGATATATTACATGTGTGGTGGTGGTGGTGGTGGTCTTGGGGGATATATTACATGTATGGGGGGTGGGGTGGTGGTGGTGTTGGTGGTCTGGGGGAATTTATCACATGTATGATGGTGGTGGTGTTGGTGTTGTTGGTGGTGGTGGTCTGGGGGAATATATCAAATGTATGATGGTGGTGGTGGTGGTCTGGGGGAATATATCAAAAGTATGATGGTGGTGGTGGTCTGGGGGAATATGTCACATGTATGATGGTGGTAGTGTTGGTGTTGTTGTTGGTGGTGGTCTGGGGGAAAATATTACATGTATGATGGTGGTGGTGGTGGTGTTAGGTTGTCTGGAGGGTCTGGGGGAATATTACATTACATGTGTGGTGGTGTTGGTGGTGGTGGTGTTCGTGGTGGTCATTTGTTGGTTGTGCTGCTGTTGCTGATGAATGTGTTTTGTTGTTGTTTTTGGTGGTGGTGGTTGTTGGCAGGGGCTCTGGTGTGGTTTCATTTGCTCCTTCTTTCCTATCAAACATCTACATGTTATCATCTTTATCTCTCCTCCTTCTTTTTTTGTGTTTGTTACTCTCTTGTAACACCTCTAATCTTCGGCACTTATCTGACCTTATTGTGTTGCAAGTGCCGTAAAACTCTTACGAAATAAAGGTGATGATGCTGGTGGTTGTGGTGTTTTGTTGTTGTTAGTAATTTTGGCGTAGAATTGTTTTGTTGTTGTTGGTGGTGGTGGTGGTGGTGATGTTGTCTTGTTATTGTTGTTGTTGAGGTGTTTTGTTATTGTTGTTTTTTCTGCTGCTGATGGCGAGAGAGTAAGAGAGAGAGAGAAAGAGAGAGAGAGAGAGAGAGAGAGAGAGAGAGAGAGAGAGAGAAAGAAAAAGAGAGAGAAAGAGGGAGATGCATTAAAAGACACCTTTCAGCACATTCATGTAGAAAAAGGTATACATAATGACAGAGGGACGGCAAAAGAAAGAGAGAGAAAAATAAAATAACAAGACCATTAAATAGTCAAAGAGGAGGCCACCCCCCACACTCTCTCTATCCCCTTAACCCCCCCTCCCCCCCCCACACACACACTCTCCCATCCCCTTACCCCCCACCCCCTTGGGGTTAATTACTGTACCTCCACATAGTCTTGTATCCTCTGCACAGAGGCAAACCGAGACATGGTCTCCATAGACAACCTCAGAGTGTATTGAACCAAACTGGTTATCTGTGGAGAAAAGCATGACCAGTTGATACATGTCCGTCTAATGAAGAATTGTGTCTTCTCTTGGAACTTTACCGATGCTTTTGACTTTCGTTACACACAGATACCGTTTACCTGAAAAAGGAAAGATCCTTTACTAAATCTTATTCGCAAATTACAAACGGATAAAAATGAAAAAACAATAACATTACATAACAGCATCAATAAAAAAAAGATAGTGGGTGATTGGCAGGTGCTCTCGCGTGGAAGAAGAAGAAGAACAACAACAACAACAACCAAAACCACACCAAAGCACCACAAGCATTAATATCCATCCACCCCTTCCCTCCCCACCCCTCTCTTCAACCTCAATTCGTCCCCTTTCCTCACTCAAATCCCCCACTCCCCACCCACACACACACATGTTTTAACACACACACACATGTTTTAACACACACACACATGTTTTAACACACACACACACATGTTTTAACCCACACACACACACACACATGTTTTAACACACACACATGTTTTAACACACACACACACACACACACACACACACACACACATGTTTTAACACACACATACACATGTTTTAACACACACACACACACACACACACACAGACACACAAAAGATTAATTTTCAAAAAAGAAAGAGTAAGTCACCTGTATAGCAAAGGAGAGCGCCAGCCCCGCCTGTGAGCTGTTCTCCGGACTGAGAGTAAATATGACCAGGAAGCCCGTTGCCCCGGTAACGATGACCGTCATGCTGTCCAGGAACACGGCGAGCCAGCGGTTAGCGGCGTAAAAGAGGAAGAAGGGAACACTGTTGCGGTTGAGTAACTCACAGAACCTGAAAAGATAACAGAGAGAGGGTGGAAGTGATTGTTGTATACCTCAAAAGACGCTATTTTAGCGGGTTGTTTTTTCCTTGTCTGTCAGAGCCAGTCCTTGTATTAAAATTCTTCTTCTTCTTCTTCTTCTTCTTCTTCTTCTTCTTCTTCTTCTTCTTCTTCTTCTTCTTCTTCTTCTTCTTCTTCTTCTTCCTTCTTCTTCTTCTTTTTCTTCTTCTTCTTCTTCACTCAGCACCTCCCGCCCAGTAACAAAAAAACAACAACCAAAAACCAAAATCCTAAAACAAATCCACACCCAAACAACCTCTTGTGTCCTCCAGTTCCTGCTTTCTGCACCTACCTGAGATAAAAGCGCTCGCCCTGGTTGAAGGACGAGATGGTGGCGATCCCCTCCACGGACGCCGCCATGTGGCTGAGGCACGGAGACCTGGTCACGTTGTCCATGAACTTGAGCCGTTGCAGGACGGGCGCGAACATCCAGGCCAGGAGGCAGAAGACGATGGCGAGAGGGAGGATGGCCAGCAGGTCCCAGGGGAACACCACGGAGATGAGGAGGAGGGCGGAGAGGACAAGGAAGATGTTCTGGAGGAACAGCTCGCAGTTGGCGGGGAGTCGGACGTCGACTGGGGGAACAACGTTGCGAGTTTTGATAGATGGAAGTTTTACAGCATTTCTAGCACACATGGGTCATTTAATTGTTTGTTTTAGTAGAGGTTTTACGGCGCTCGCAACGGTATAAGGTCATATGAGCGCCAGAAGATTAGGGGTGTTACAAGAGAAGCGTGTGTGCGTACGTAATTATACGCAAAAGAATAAGATCATGCCCATAGTGGAAAGATAGAATAAGGTCATCAAGTAAAACAAGGGTCCATCATAAGACATCATTTTCTGTCATTGTACGCTAAAATACAAAAATGGAAAAGACACGATGAATGAATGACAGCGGAACCCGTACAAGAAGATCCCCCACAGTCGATGGGAGAAGTGATCACCTTAGAAAGGTTGTCTTCTTAGACAATATCAATATAATAAATTGTAAAATGCAAGGGTGGTTGGTGGGAGAGAAGTGGGAAATGTTCGCTTACTCAGGTGATTGTATTAGCAGGTGGTCGTTTGAGGAGGTTCGACCTTATGTAAAAAGTAAAAAGCATTAAAAAAACTCACTCTCGTCCATGTCGGCAGCGAACCGATTAAGAATGATGCCAATAGGCGTAGTGTCGAAGAACTTCATTGGACTTCTCAAGGTCATCTCGGTTAAGCTGCGGTGCAGACTGCTAGAAGCCTTCAGTAAAATCTGAGGAAGGCAGAAAAAGTATGACTTTCGAGAAAGAACATTAAGAAAAATAACAGGCACCTCCTGTCTGCTGTCATCTGATGTATCTCTCGGCCTCGACTGCTCTTGTCAGGTAGGGTTGAAGCAGTCAGCTTCCTCAATTATATTCGAAATCAATGGCGAGGAAAACATCTACAAATCGAACATCTATAATATATACTACAAAATAGATGATTCCATCAACAAAAATCGCATACAAACTTCAGGAGACAAAACAAATTTAAAAAAAAAATCTCACAGTGAAACTACATTTCCCAGTCTTTTACATGTCCTGGTCTTTCACATTTCCCAGTCTTTTATATTTCCTGGTCTTTTGTGTTTCCCAGTCTTACATTTCCTGGTCTTTAGCATTTCCCAGTCTTACATTTCGTAGTCTTTCACATTTCCCAGTCTTACATATTTCCTGACCTTTTACATTTTTGGGATCTTACCTTGACAAAAACAAGCGAGCGTAGCACAAGGATGACGAGCGTTGCCAGCAGAAACATTCCGTAGACCAGGGCGTACATGTTCACGTGGGGGTTTTCGAAGGCGCTGTCTGACCCCACATCGCTGTGGCTGCTGCTGCTGTTGTTGTTGTTGTTGTTGCTGATGATGATGTTGCTGGGTGTGGCGATGATGATGTTGTTGGTGGTGCTGTTGCTGTTGATGACGGTGCTGTTGATGTCGTAGCTGATGTTACTTGGAGAACTTACATTCTGGGGAAGTAAAGAAGGGCGGAAATTTTAATATCCCCCAGTTGTAAAAAGACCAAATTAGACCAAGATCGAAAGCAAAAGAATACAGATAGACAAGAGAAGCCATTAGTAAGGTCTGGTCTTATGAGAGTCACCATGGAAGAGTGTCAACCTATCAGGTTAATGTAGCTGTAAGTGATAAAACTGGATATGGCTAACGATGTTTAATAGATTATTGCCTCAGATTCGAACCTTAAGTCTTCCACATACATATTTAGTATAAAGAAAACTACAACCATAAAACCATTGCATCAAAGCAACGCTGTTCATGGTTTATCGGTTTGACCCTTTACCGTTGAGGTAGAGGTTGTGGGTTCGATTCCTGATCGGGAAAGCTTTCTACAGAGTGTCTGTGTCTGTGTGCTGAGACGTTGTATCCCACTCAGCCCAGGTTGGCACTGACAGTCAAGGTGGTAGCCATTCTCCTCATATACAGTATAGGCCGACACGGAGGTTGAAAACAATTACAGAAATAAATATCTCAAAGCAGTAGGCATAGATGCAAATTTATAATACATGTGAACTTGAAATTGTCTGAGATGACCACCCATTGTCGATGAGAAAAATGTCCGTCTTAGACAGGTGACCGTGTCACACAATATAACTTAACGTATTTCCCAAATATCCCCACGGGGAGCAAAAAAGTGATATTTATTTATTGACTTGGAATCTATTTAGGTAAGATTTAACTTTCGTGGACCCAACACCGAACGAAGCCGGAACTACTTTTGAGCCTCGCTTTGCAATGCCATATAATCTTCCGCTCTTATGTTATTAATGTTCACTTATATGTGTTTTTTGTATTATTTTTGTAGCCGGGGGATTATGGCTTATGCGCATTATTACATGTAAACATAGCGGGGCCACCAAAGTAGAATCCGGCCATCTACTTATTTACTTATAATTCGGTGGTCGCTTTTAAAGACAAAGGGGCTATCCCGATAAATGCTGTCTTGAAAAAATCGAAGTTAAAGTTTTTGGATTCTTATTCAGTCTCATTAAAAGACAAGGAGAGTTTTCTCGATAACCAAACACATATTATACACACCCCAGAAACCAAACTTCTCCTATAGGTAAGGCAATGCCCACTTTTGGTGTAGGTCAAGATTTCTGGGAACCCCCGAAATCTGGGTTAGCCCGCTTGTCCTTAAAAGCGACCATTGATCAAGTACCCACCGTGTGTCCAGCTCCCTGGTTGAGCCAGTAGGCCAAATAGCCAGTGGTCAGCGACTGGATGGCAATGCTGACAATGAAGCTGGCCAGCAGGAACACAAACACGACCACGCCACCCATGGCCCGGATGTAGGAGGCGTAGCTTCGCATGCGCACTTGGCAGTCTGGCTGGTCACGGGCACTGACCAGGTCTTCGATGTCCACTAGTAGTGATGACGAGGTGTGAGCAGCAGGGGAGAATAAACGGTCAGATGAAGTTACACCCTTCCACAGGTAGGAGTTATAATAAATCTCTTGAGATTTATTGAAACGTAACAATTTCCTACCATGTTGACAAATTGTCCATGTAATCTACATCTGACAATAGGGAAACAAGTAAAACTACACTAGAAAAAAAAGGAAGAACTCATGAGATTTTCTAGTGAGTTGTTATAGCTGTAAGTCTACGGGGCTGATAAATAGCACCAGACTAAAGGCAAGGTTGCTGGATACCTACTATTTGTTTTGGTTTGGGTTTTTTCCCGTAAAGTTTTCACAACGTGGAGTTTGTTTACCGGAAAACCACTAAAGCTTTGGGGATAGGGGAGCGGAAGTAACCCGTGGGTAGGGAGTATTTACTACAAGGGCACAATATCGATTTGTGTTTCGTTTGGAAAAGCTTCACTCGACTTTACTCTGATAGCTTTTCAAAAGCGTATTCGTTGAATGATGTAGTATATATTTCACTTCAAAGATGGCCCTTATGTATATCGGCCCTCAGCATTTCAGGAAATAATCTTTAAAATGGAAATTGTTTCATTGCTTGGGTTTGTAGTCGTGCTGTTCTCGTCGAGCGCTTTTTTAAAAAGCGTATGGCAGATCAGCTAAGCTCAAATAAATCTCCAAATT